ATATATATATATATATATATATATAATATATATATATAACATATATATATATATATATCGTCGATGGGATTCACAAACCGGCTACATGCAAAAATTTCAAAAATCTTTTTATTTGCTTAATGAATAGTAAATAGCCTAATACGTGTCCCCAATAAATATTAGGTTTGAAAAAAAACTAGAAATATGTTTTAATTGAGACTTTCCAAAACGGACACCTGCAGCTGATGGAAAAATGGGATCGCCAAACCGGCCATGTACATAGCCGCATCGGTTTCACAAGACCGTCGCGACACGCGTTGACACGTGCCATGGAAAACCGGCTACATGCTTCCCCGCCGCGCATCACCCCGACCGTTCCGTATTTTCTTTTGAACTAGACAGAATTGTAAACTGTTATCAGTGTTCATTGAGATAAATAATATTATAGTCAACAATGATGTGAATTGTGATATAAAGGATTAGTGTGATCGATTTACTAGGTTAGATTTGTCAATTAATTTATGCATCTCTAGATGAGACATAAGAACATGAAAGATCAATAGAGTTCCAGCCACAATATGGGCCTGTACCTTTACAACAAGCTCTCTCTCTCTCTCTCTCTCTCTTCTTCTTCTTCTTCTTCTTCTTCTTCTTCTTCTTCTTCTTCTTCTTCTTCTTTTTCTTCTTCTTCTTCCTCTTTTCCTACGTTAATTGTTGTATTATAACACACTCTAGTGTTAGCTGCTGCAGAGCAGCTGTAATAGCAGTAGTAGTACCATCATCATCAGCAGCAGCAGCAGCACCAGCAGTAGTAGTAGTAGCAGCAGCAGCAGAAGTAGTAATACAAAACTAATACTATAAATATTACAGAAAATATTTTAATAATAATATGCACTTAATTGTTACTATTTAATTGTTGACATTCTGGATGCAATCATTTTTGTTCTTGGAATTATCCTAAGCTGTGACCATGGGTGTGAACTGATATTATTCTTTGGTCTCTTCGCAAAATTAAACGTTTCAAGCGTGATGTATACAATATTGTGGCAGACATCATTTTCTTACGATTCACTTATCACGCATCAATAAAGTTATCTATTCAAGTGTCTGGTTTTTAGTATTATTATGCCAGAGATATATTTAGCAGAGAGAGTGGTTCCACGCAAAAACCTCCGCCGGCATCAGCTGTGATTCACGATTGATAAAGAAAGGACCAAGTACAAGTCATCGAAAGAGAGAAAAAAACTCCCGAAATATGAAATGGCTATCTTTGTCAGGTTTACAGAATAGTTCATCTACGTTAATGCTGTTCTTCTATAATAATTAATGCTAGCCCTTTTCAAATACCAGTTTCTTGACATTTTGACAAGAGTCAGGCTGAGGATACATGATGGATTCCCTATCTCGAGGAAGATGCCCGGTAAAGCTGAGTCTGGCAAAGACATTGGAGAAGACTGCGGATGATGGCAAGTGCACTCCAGCAAATTATCCACGATTCACCTCTATCATGGAGCCACGATATTGCCCATGGCTATCACCATCGACTCGGCTTCACCCTGGTGTTTTGAACAATTCACTTTCAGAAAGTATAAATGGTCTTCTTAAGAATGACCCTTAGTTTGAGATTTTTCTTCATACAATTGCCAGAGATCCCTACAGCTGTAGGCAGCAATCACGAGGGAACTAATGGACATAGAATTGGAAGGCGGCGGAATGCATGTGTCATGTATGTAGAAGGAATGGATTCTTGCGACAAGATTATGGACAAGTGCGGCAGGGAGGTGGATAGAAGAGGAATGGAAGAAGGAAATGGTAAAATTGATCCTTGTGGGGGACTGCCTTCTCGAAAGTAACAGATTGACTAGCACAACTGGAGACGAAATGAGACCAAAAGGCTGGAATAACAAAAGCTAGAATAGCACAACAAATACAAAAGGATGCTCTTGTCAGAATAATAGATACCATTGTGACGAATTCAGTTATAAGGAAAGAGACAGATTTTTTAAAGCAGTATGGAGACTCACATGGGTACAGAAGCGTACATTTGTAATTCATTTTTTTTAAAAGATGATGTGATCAGGAGAAGTGTTTTGTGCGTTTGGATCAAGCCGGTCTGAAGAGACGAAAGGTTCAGAAAATAAAGCGCATTCAGGTATTTTCAACAACACAGCTGACAGTTTGCGGAGAAAGTTTGCTAACAGTCCTTTATTATGTCAACCATCGGACTTTGGAACATGATGTGTTAGGAACTGGGCGATGAACGAGCAGTCAAACATGAATGCACGTGTGACCGATGTATCCTCAGTGTTGAGGGATTCTTCAACAAGTTATCGCGACTATCATTACATTACTGTATGGCTCAACTAAGCTGTACCTTGAGACCCCCTTCCACAGTTTCACTGACGTAGTGTAATGGCTCTACCCTTCAGAGTATACAGAAATGAAGCAACGCTCCCTCTGTTGAAGCAAATTTTCGACGAGCTCAACTTGGCTTTGTTCTGTCCTCGTGAGTATCGCTGCGATGTTAACGTGGTTATTGTGGCAACGTGGGTGAACACGCTTGGTTGAAACATTGAAAGTGTGAAGAAACAAACAGAAAGCCACAGCCGACAAGGAAATAGCCATCACATCCTTAGGTGAAGATGAAAAACACTCTGGTGTTGAATGGACATGTTAGCTGTTCCTTTGGCACTAAGAAGCAATGCGTCTTCTCTGTATTACAAGATTAAAATATCGGTGCATCATTGTACGTTCTACAACGTTGCTGAGGACGATGTGGTGGGCTGAGACAGAACGAATTTGCAACGTACATAATCAACTTTCTGAAAGGAATCCTGGGTGTCAAAACTAACTCTATACGGAGATGATTGGACATACCAAACCGATATTCGACATCGGCAAAGCCGCTTCTTTTTTGTGCTAGAAACAGGGTTCAAATTGAACAAAGAATACCAGAAAAGGAGCATCTTACAAACAGAAGTGGGTTTCCGAGCTCAATTATATCGAGAGGAGGTTGAAGACTCCGCTACCTATGTGTCAGCCCAGTATGTCCATAAAACACAGTCATCACGCTCAAACCCCATCCATACCATGTGAAATATCTGCAACACCAACGACTTTCAGGATTACAAGAGCATTTCCGACAATTTCCAACCCAGCAGGAGAGTCGGGGACTCTTCGGTGATGGACTGGAGGTGTATCCTGATCTGTCACGGAGGTGAGCCCCATCAAATTCTCCTAAGAGGTCAAACCAACCAAAGTGGGAGCTGGTTGACCCAACCCCTGCCTACAATAGCTCCAGGAAAATGAAAAACGAAGATATACTTACATTTCCAAACGGTGTAAGAGGTCATGCCAGTTGAATACCATCCATTTTACCAAGCTCTGTCAACTGACTAGCACCGAACAATGCTCATAGGGAAAGTAGAGACTCACAATCATTGAATTCAAATGTGATTTTTGTTGTCTATGTAGCTTACACTGTTTCATTGTTTATTATAATGTAGGAACTCAAGTGTGAAAAATGATGAAAGATTGTGCACAGGAAGAAATGAGCCCATCCATGTGCAATCAAACGATACTAATATTCTTTCAATCACACCCCAGACAATTAGATGCAAAGGGACCAGGTTTTAAATGTTATTATAATTCAGCCGAGAATCGAACCCATAACCTCCCGATCCACATAAGAGCCCCGAGACCACCGTTTGCCATACCAAGGTCCTGCCCTTGGGGGATATCGAACAAAAGTGGAGGTTTCTCAGACAAATACTTTTTAAAAAGTCTTGTCCTGGCTTTTTAAACAACTTAATTTGTGTTGGTTTGGGGTTTTGTTTGATATTTTTGTAAACACAGGGATGTCTTCTTATCAACAATTCCAGTCACACACTTGATGACCTGGCACTTTTGGATATTTCACGTAGAACTGCTAAAGTTCCACACGGGCAGATATAGTCTCCCCCCCCCCCCCTTTCCACTTGAATAACCTAATAGTGTTGATAGGGCGTTGAACCTTAACCATTGCACATGTTCAAGTACATGTATTGTCCTTCAGACACCGGGTCGACGACTTCTCCTAGTACTGGTCACCTAATGTAAAATACTAGGCGAGAGAGCAGCTAGGATGTTAAAGTAAATTCATTAAAATTTCCATCATGAATCGACAGGTAACAAAGTTTGAACCCACACCTCCCAGTAACCAGGGTTAATTAATTTACAGACAAAGGGCCAGTCAAAGCACTAAACTTGTCATTCTAATCTAAAACATTTTGTGCATGAATCGACCAGGTTAAGATTCAAACCCAGTTTGAACCAGACAGCTTTCATTAAGATAGATCTATTAGTTCAAATTCTATAACTCGCCGTCGTCCATGTTCATCTAGGTCTTTACTTATTATGACGGCGAACAGCGGCACACTGCTGCGACGAAACGGCTACATGCCGCCTCGTGCCGCGGCTGTGCGGGGAAGCGTTCTGCG